GGCTCAAGTGGTAGAGCACTAGCCTTGAGCTGAAGAGCTGAGGGACAGTGCCTAGACCCAGAGTTCAGGCCCCACAACCAGACCCCAAAACAAAAACAAAAACATTCACAAGATCCTTTCTCAGCCAGTAGCTGAGTGTAGTAACCCATGCCTTTCATCCTGGCTACCCGAGAGACTGAGATTTGAAGGATAGTGGTTCTAAGCCAACTTGAACATCAAAGTCCTCCACGCTGCCTCTCAGTGGAAGAAGCTGGGTACTGTGACATGTGCCTGTCATCCCAATTATAGCAGGATCACAGTCCAAGTATGTGTCCAGACTGGAAGTGAGATCCTATCTCAAAAGTAACCAGTGCAAAAAAAATGAGACTGGATGCTTGGCTTAGAGGTAGAGCACCTGCCTAGCAACTGTGAGGCCATGAATTCAGACCCAACTACTGCCAAAAGAAAAAGAAGAAATTAAACATGAGGTTGTTTTATTTTTCTGTATGATGTTAGGAAGAAGTAACCTTACTAAGAATATATGTTAACTGTGATGCCTTATGTTTTCTGGAGTAGATAGAAAAAGCCTTTGAGCTCTTCATAATAAAAACTGTTTATTGAAAAAAGCCTCAAGAAAGACTCTAAATGCCCAATAGGTAGATAAGGGGAGATTTGCTTTGAAGTTATTTAGTGTCTATCAGCTATAATTAACTGGATCATGGGTCAAGATTATTCTCTCTCTTTTTTTTTTTTTTTGCATTTGTGGTCTTTACAGCCTTTATGTTAACTTAAGGACCTACCACTCAATTGATAGATTTTACTTTTTACTCACTTTGAGGCTTGACTGACCATAGTCATAGTTAGAAGGGATAAATTTGGCTATACACATGGTTATTTTGTGCTCCTATATAACCACTCCCTGAAGAATTTGAGCTGATGCTCTAGATATGCTAACCTACTGATCTTGATCTGCCTTGCATAGCTTATATAAGAGAAACTTCTTATATGCATTTTCACTCCAGTGTTCTCTATTCTGTCTTCTTTAGTACGTAAGCTGGCACCTAATGAATTTCCTCATAAACTCTACGTCCAGAATTATACATCTGCTGTGCCAGGCACCTGCCTGACAATTCGAAAGTGGCTTTTTACAACAGAAGAAGAAATCCTCTTAAATGACAATGACCTTGCTGTTACCTATTTCTTTCATCAGGTGAGTAAATTGCTAATCCTAAAAGGCCTGGTTCTTTTTCTGTTTGTATACCGTTGGTAATTTACCAATTTTGTGTGGATGGATCCTTTAGTCTGAGTTATATTTGTAAAGTGTTCTATCCTATTTAACATAAGATATATAAATGGTAGAGATATCCTGGAGTTTCAAACACTTATTTTAATTTTTAAAGTATTTTTATTATTATAAAGGTGATGTACAGAGGTATATTTTAATTTTTAACAAAAAAGCATTATATTTAATGAATATTACAGATGTTGTGTGTCTGCTAAAAACAAAGTGTCTAGGTTTTGTTCTTGTTGGGGGGGTGTTTTTAGGCTCTTTAAAAAATGGTTATAAAGGTGATGTAAAGAGGGGTTACAGTTACATAAGTCAGGTAATGAGTACATTTCTTTTTGGACAATGGTTACCCTCTTCCTCACTCTCTCCCAGTTTTTCTCTCCCATGCCACTCACAAGTTGTTCATTTTCAACATATTGTCTAGTGAGTACCACTGCAGTGTGTTTTTCCTCTGTTCTCAAGCCATAATCAAGACTTCTGTGACCTCATAAGGTATGGGATTTCTCCCCACCAGCAAGCAAGCAATTTTAAGTGGATACAAGCTCGTCATTGTCTTAATTTAGTTCTGACACTATTTTCTTTTTTTTTTTTGGTCCAGTCCTGGGCCTGAACTCTGGTCCTGGGCGTTGTCCCTCTGCTCTTCAGCTCAAGGCTAGCCCTCTGCCACTTGAGCCACAGTGCTATTTCTGGCTTTTTTTTTTCTGCTTATGTGGTGCTGAGGAATCGAACCCAGAGCTTCATGCATGCAAGGCAAGTGCTCTCCACTGAGCCACCTTCCCAGCCCCAGTTCTGACACTATTTGAAACTTGTGACTTGGCTACAAGTTGAAGTTGCCATGTTTCCTTCTGGTTTGAATAATTTTCTAGAGCAGCTCAGAGAACTCAAAGGACTACTTTACTTAACACTTACTACTTTACTATTAAGGATATTTTAGAGGATACAAATCATCAAGAAGTAGCAGAGATACTGGAAAGACTTGAGGCACAGGACCTTCCATCCCTTTGGAGCTGACTGTACCACATTCCTACAGATGAGTTTCTATTTGCCTTCTTGCAAACTTTCATTCACATATTTAGCAGTCTTTAGTCCAGGAACTTCCAGAACCTTATCCTTTTGTATTTTGGATTTATTTTATAGACTTTATTGCATGAGTATGACTGAAGTATAAACAACCATGTTGAAATATGATTGGGTGTGGAAGAAATAACTGTATTGCAAAGCTCATAGAACTCATAAGTGTCTTTTGTTTTTTTTGGGGGGTCCGGTCGTGGGGCCTGAACTCTGGGCCTGGGCGCTGTCCCTCAGCTCTTCAGCTCAAGGCGAGTACTCTACCACTTGAGCCACAGCGCCACTTCCGGCTTTTTTATTTTTGTTTATATGGTGCTGAGGAATCGAACCCAGGGCCTCATGCATGCAAGGCAAGCACTCTACCACTGAGCCATCTTCTCAGCCCCTAAAAAAAATTTTTAAAAAAGGTAAAAGTCTTTACCAATAAGAAAAATAAATCATATGCTGAGGTTGCTAAGACTTATGGTAAGATTTAATCTTGAATCTGTAAAATTGTGAAGAATAATAATAATTGTGAATATTAATAATAAAAGAGTAATAATGCTAGTTTTACTATAGCACCTTAAAGTGTAAAATTCTAGCATTTGCTACAAACTGGTGGCTCACACCTATAATCCTAGCTATGACCTATCTCAAAAATAAATATGACCCTATCTCAAAAATAACCAGTGCAGAAAAGGGCTGGAGGTGTGGCTTAGTGGTAGACTGACTGCCTAGCAAGTGTGAAGCCCTGGTTTTTAACCCCAGTACTGCCAAAAGAGGCAGGTGGGAGCCACATGCAATTACAGGATTTAGTACTAGCCACAGCTTCAGGCATCCACTGAGAGGCTTAGAACATATCCTTAGTAGGTAAATAGGAACTACTGAATTGCTTAGGATGCTTAGACAATGAATAGTAATTTTTCAGGTAGTAAATGAAAATGAAAATGGACTTATTCCTAGATAGTTGGTTCTTTCAGATAAAAATTAAAAGGTGAAAAAATCCATTAGAAAGATATGATAAGTTCCTTTTTGTTTTCTTTCTTTGTGGGGTTGTCATCGTCATCGTCGTCGTCCCCCCCCCCCCCATTCTGGACGTCCAATCTCATGGTAGACAGTCATTTTACCACTGATCCATACTCCCAGCCCCAGTACTTACTTTGAATCAAAGAGATTAAGAGTTGTTTATTCTTTGCTGGAAGAAAATTGGCATTAGACTAGCTGACACCCCCTGAGTCTCATCCATTTTTCCTTTCAGAGATTTTTTTCTGATTATTTCAGGAATAAGAAACAAAGTAAGGATAACATTTGAAGCAATTTATATATCTAACCATTAAACCAGAGACCATTTGTAGGCATTGCTGCTTTCATCTGTTTTCATTCTAATTTGTCAGTTCTGAATGGAGTGACGGAAGTAAACCAAAAATCTTATCTGGGTTTGACTTAGACCGTTCCATAGTTTTCTGTTTTGAAATGTGAACATGTTGACTTCAATATGTTTCTTTTTTCCCCTGTTCATTTTAAAGGTTAACTTCTGCTGCAGCCTAAAGTCAACTTTATGTCTTATAAATATATTGACTTTTAAGATTTCATTTCCCCCTACACTGTATTCATTGGAACTCATTTCTTCTCTATCACATAGTAGATGTGGTTTAGCTAGCATGTTATCTGGAGAGTGAAGACTTACTGGATCACAAATTCTTTGTGGTTTTCCCCTTAGAACTACAATGGTGTGTCTGACGTAGAGCTGAGAGTAGCATTACCAGATGGAACAGCAGTTACAGTCCGAGTTAAAAAGAACAGTACTACAGACCAAGTGTATCAGGTAAATTAAACTTGAATAATTTGGCTTGATATTATACGATGTGAAGCTAAGAAAGATACATTAAATGAGTTAGCACATATAATGTCCTTTTGTAGTACCTAGCATACAAGAAGTTTCTTAAATTGCTATTAATATGAAAGTACTTTACCCTCCTCAAACAATGAGTAATACATATTCCAAGGTGTAGTGGTTATAATTAACTTTTCCTTTTTTATTATAAACTTTATGATACACATAAAAACAGAATACTAGTATAATGATTTCCACATTTGTGTGTGTGTGTGTGTGTGGTTTGGGGATTAAACCAGGGCCTCACATATGCTAGTCAGGCCATTTACTACTGAGCCATATCCTTAGCTCTAATATTTAATAATTATAGCTGGGTGCCAGTGGTTCATGCCTATAATCTGAGCTACTCAGGAGGCTGAGATCTTAGGATTGCAGTTCAAAGCCAGTCTGTGCAGGAATCTGTGAGAATCTTTTTTTTTTTTTTTGGTCAGTCATGGGGCCTGAACTCTGGGCCTGGGCACTGTCTGTCCCTCAGCTCTTCAGTTCAAGGCTAGCGATCTACCACTTGAACCACAATGTCACTTCTGGCTTTTTCTGCTTATGTGGTGCTGAGGAATCGAACCTAGGGTCTCATGCATGCAAGGCAAGCACTCTACCACTGAGCCACCTTCCCAGCCCTCTGTGAGACTCTGATCTCCAACTTACCACAAGAAGCCAGAAGTGGCTCTGTGGCTCAAGTGGTAGAGTGCTACCTTGAGCAAAAGCTTAGGGACAACACCCCAGTGCTGAGTTCAAGCCCCAGTACCAGGACAACAAATAAATGAATTAAATATATAAATAAATAAAACCTGAAATAATCTCAGCTTCTTGGGAATTGAAAGCAGGAGAACAGTGAATTTGAGGCCAGCCTGGGCAAAGGTAGCAGAGAGATCCTCTCTCAAAAAGGGGACTTGGGTTGAAGAAATGGCTCAAGTGGTAGAGGGCCTAACTAGCAAATGTGAAGACCCAAGTTCAAATTCCAGTTCTGCCAAAAAAGAAAAAAATCCTGAGGGCATACCTCAGGGTTAGAACACCTACTTAGTGTAATTTCCTAGTATACTCAGGGCCCTGGGTTCAATCCCCAGTACCCAAAGAATAAGTAAATAAATCACAATAAGTGAGTAAGTAACTAACTACTTAAATAAAAACAAAGAATCAAAGTATAGTCCTTAGGTCTTAATGACCTATGTTAAATGTAGGCTGAATATGTGAAACAATATTTAACAATTTTTTTTGTTGTTGTTTTTGCCAGTCCTGGGGCTTGAACTCTGGGCCTGGTCTCTGTTCCTGAGCTTCTTTTGCTCAAGGCTAGCACACTACCACTTGAGCCACAGGGCCACTTCCAGCCTTTTCTGAATAGTTTATTGTTGATAAAAGTCTCACAGACTTTCCTGCCTAGACTGGCTTTGAACCCTGATCTTCAGAACTCAGCCTCCTGAGTAGCTAGGATTACAGGTGTGACCCACCAGCATCTGGCTGTTTTCTTCTTAACATCTGTGCTAGCAAGCACTTTTCTTGCAAGTGGTGTCAAATAAAGACCTTTATATGAAAAACTTTATGTAAAACATAGCTTTTTGGGTCATGTACAGAGGGTTTCCCCCTTACTTAAGTATGCATGTGTGCACATACACTTATGAAGCCAAAATGACAAACTATCTGTCTTTACCCTCACCTCTACATGCATATACTTGCCTTTTCCCACAGTGATGTCTGATTTACTTGTCCTGAATCATTCTATCCTGTTTAAACTTTAGGCTATTGCAGCAAAGGTTGGCATGGACAGCACAACAGTGAATTATTTTGCCTTATTTGAAGTGATCAATCATTCCTTTGGTAAGTTCTAGTAGCTATTAAGTTTTGTTTTGAGGCCCTTTTATTCTAATACTGTTGGGTAGAAACTATTTTTTCCAAAGAAGTGCTTGAAGACAAGGTAAGATCCCACTCTTTGGGACTGTCTCTAACAAGCAGAGCAGGCAGATCCTGGGAAACCTGGTCATAAGGA